CATGAAAAGCTTTACATCCTTATCTCCAGCTTTTAAATTCAGTATCCCATTCGACTCATTTTGTGTGAGATTAATTCCATTAGGCTTAAAAATTTCATCATTGAGTGAGCATACACTGTAATACCCATCAGGTATAATAATGTATTTGTCAATAACATCGTTTTCACCTAATATATATGTCTCATTATTACCTCTCGCAGCACTTATATTGGTCCACCGCGGGTTATACGTTACATCGCATAGGGCGACTTCGAGTTGACCAGCTGAGTTATCGATAGTATGAAGCAGTTCAATAGACTGACCATTTATTATTCCCGGGAGTGTGACAGACATATTAAATATACAATGATACATAACTTAAATATGAAATCAACTTATATTACTAATCAGTCGATTTTAATAAGTGCCTCTGGTGCTAAGTTTTTTGTTGAATTCCCTGATATCTTTGAAAAATACATGGTCACGGCAACTAGCGATAAAATGGTGCACGACTGGTTCCACAATCCAATGCAATTTTGGCAGAATCAGTTAAACTTTGCCATATGGTGTGCAACAACAGGATGTGGTGTATCTCTTTATGCCCCAGGATTTGAACTAAATAAGTCTGTTTTATCATTTCATGTGTACTATCAGATTAGACGTATACTTAAAGAAATTAGTGCCCAATTACCGCAGGATTGAGCATGGAATTCCTCAAATAATCCGTACAGTAGGTTTGCGTATGAACGTATTTGTCAGGAATTTAATATTGCACCGAGTAAAGATTGGCGTAAAAACAGTAAAAGAAGAAAGCGATGATTTACTTAAAAAAAACTAATCAACCATTCAATCCTTTTAAGTTGTTACAGAAAAACAATCTTTTTATAAGAGATTACATAATCTTAATCATGGCTGGGAATTTTCGAGTAACGATTAGAGAGGAGATCTTATCAGTTTTAAGTGTGGTCTACCTTATATTGTTACAAAATTTGTGCAACTGAACGATACCGCAAACGCTTGGAATGAATTTCTATATGATAAAACAGAAATTAATTTTACTTACCCAGGAGTTGTAAGAGTTAATGAATCAATAAGAACTTATGTATGGGCAATTCTCGGTGCACAATCGCAAACACGAACGTCCATTATTGGTTCTGGGACGGCGCTCGATGCACAAAAACAGTTTGTTGCAAACGTGGTGAATGCTATTAATTCACCAGTTGACATACCATCTTCTATAAAACGTTATCAAGATGTATTACAGTACCCTCAATCCAAAGTAGACTATATTTATGCGCCGGGACTATACATGTCTTCGAGTCATATGGAACTTAAGATCGGTCAAGTGATAGGCTATAATAATAAAATTGTTATTGCTACCGATCAATTGGCACAAGAATAGGGAGCTGGCTCGGTTGTTGCTTACGAATGGTTAATGTTTTATGAGCTTGGTTGCAGGGGCAAGCCGGCCTAGACAACCGTAGGTTGCAGGGGCAAGCCGGCCTGGACAAGCGTGGGGAAGCAGCTGATTGTAGGGGCAAGCCGGCCTGACAAGAGCTGTGTGAGCAGGGGCAGTAGCCGGCCTGCGAAGAGGGATTTGAAAATATGTTTGAATTTGAATATGAATTGGGGGGAATTTGAAATAAAAAGCCCACTGTTTTAATGGAATAGTAGGAATTAAGTTATGGATGGAAGCAACAACCGGCACGACTCCAAGGAGGTAGAATGGGGCGGCTGGAGGGCCGAGAAGAATGCGACAACATGGCGGATGAAAAAGCGAATAAACATTGGAGGCGCATGCGCGGCCTGCGGAAGTTTAGAAAGTATGTGATGCACCCTTAACACCTATGAAATTTGGCACCCGAAATCGAACAATTAAAATGTACGTAACGCAGATGCTAAGAATAAACAATTACGATATGCATAGGTGAAACATGTAAGTATGTTTTTAGGAGAAACCTATAATTGTGAGGGTACATCATGTAGCTGAGATGGACAATGGACGCAAACAAGTTTAAGAACGAAAGCATGTAGGTACACGTGGGCATGAATAAAAAATGGTAACGGGAAGTAATTATGCGTAGATGAATCAACCAACACAACAAAGAACACGGGGGTGGGCCAGAAGAGAATTAGAGCAACATTTATAGCGTAACGATTGATGAAAGAAACCGCCGGGAATGTAGTAAATGGATGTATGTCCGGGGCTGTCATTTCTGCACAAACAAAAATAATAAATTTACATTATAAATTCAGATATTAACACTGAATTAATAACGCAAACAAACACAGGTGAAACGGAAATAGTCAAGCCACAGACACCACAACCATCTACTAACACACAACCACAAGTGCCACCACATATTGCAGCTAAAAATCAACAACATATCATAACATATACAACATATGAAAAAACAGCACTTATAGTAGGTGGAGTCGCGGCTTGTTTACTCATGATTTGGTTAACGAACTGATTTGGATAAATAGTTCTTAGCGGATACGTACAACAGCCCTGCAATTGCTACGATCAGTGCTCACAAGTTTTGACTAAGCCAAGTGGTGGTCTTAGCTAATAAATTCAAGAGCCCAGCCTGATGAACTTCATTCGTTGTGAAAATATCAAACTTCTTCCTCGGTATATAATGTGGTGCTGGTAAGTATATTTGCCACATCGCTTGTTTCTTTAACCAATCCTTGGCCACATCTTTAGATATCTTAGCCGCGGTGGCTAATTTTTTTATTGCTCCTATACCTTTCCAATATCCTTGTGTGCTGTAGTAAATTTTATTCATTATTAATTAATATTGATATTTCTTTTAATTAGTCTCATGACGATCGTTGAATCGCATCATAGCAGTATAGGTATATAAATCTGGCTCCAGTTGAAGTGAGCCAGAACCCCTATTACCTATACTACTGACTACAAAAGTCTGGTTTCCACCTTTGCCAAACTAAGCTGGAATTTCATGGCTCAATCGTAGTGCCACCAATGGCTATTACATGGCTCTTCTATGACCCTCCTTTTGACCATAAGATTCCACCTCTTTTTCCAGGCTTGCTGACTTGGTTGATGCATGTCATTGATCCCAATTGCGTGAATCGATGCTCATGATGTCAATCACTGGATTGTCTGGTCCAGACTCAATTATTTCCAGACCACCGTCATATAGCTGGAATATTGCTGAGTGCGGCGTTAAACAACAAACATACAAACAAACAAAACCTCCTTTTCGCTTGCATTTCCTTCAAACAAAATGACAGCGCCCAGTCAAAACAATCTGATCGATAGGCAAGATCTATTTTGTAATAAAACGGGTCTTACCTCACAAAGTGCATCAAATCTTTTGAGCACCTTGATTGAAACATGAAAAGATTTGGAAAATATCAAAGTTCAGACAACTTACTCGTAAAACATTTCTTTATTATACATACTTCTTATAGCAGTTGGTTATTTTTCTTTTTCCGGGCCCAAGCTTTGACACATACATACCTGCCATAGGAAATTTACAGTTTGCCCTGGATACAGTCATTGTAGGATGTTGGTCAGGTGGACCCTTGTACCTGACCAGCATGTTGTTGATTTTTGTCACCTGCTGCAGCGCTTGCATGGAGAGTTTAAATTAGTGTTAGGTTCTGTCCATACATCAGTCTCATTGATGTTGTTGTTACCAAGTTGTCTCCAGAACCTTTGCATGGATTTGGTTCAAGTGACTGTTTGTGCAGGAAGCATGTTTATTTGCAAGATTTCTCTATAAACACAGTATGGGTTACTTCATAATTTGTTGAAAGGTTTCTTTTGGAAATAGATCAACATGATAATTTGTTCCAGGGCCCATTGTTGGTAATACATCTCCAGATATAATTCATATGTTATATTCATATTAGGTAGCATTTGACTGACTTGGATTTTTATGCACAGGACTTAACAGACAGAATGTCACACCCACCAATCAGTCTTCATCATTGGTCACTTCCTGGGTGCCATTATGACAGTATTAGCATCCTGCTTGTGGTAAAAAACCTAACAAGGGATGCATAATACCTACCCTGAGTGATACTGCTTCAACAAATTTATCTTAATGACATGTTTTAATATGACATTGTAAAGAATTAAAATAAATTCAAAATATTGATAGAAAACAGCTGTTCGATTGTGCTGAGGTTAATTTGTGCTATGTCTTTCATTAACTCGGAAAAAGCATGTGGCCTTTTGCTTCAACGCCTATCTGAAATCCATGTGCAGCGTGCCTTATTTGTGGAGGGCCATAAGGGATTTATTCTCTCGCTGAGAAATTTATTTCCCTCCAAGGCAGGATGTTGAGTAGTTTATCAAGATCACATGGACCAATCAGATCTCATCATTCTGACATGGTTTGATAATAATAGATGTTAGCAGGTATTCTTCTTGTTCCAATGAATCTCTGTTCCGTTTAAATAAAAAAATTCGCCACAGAAAAAGATGTTCTGTTGACACACTGTCTCCAAATGTATTTGGCAAGAACCTTTAAAACTGCACAGACCATTGTCATACAACAGATAATGATTATTTCACTCTTTTCTCAGCAAAAGTAGCTTTGCTGGTTTATATTTGAATAGACTATGCTAAGGAGAGACATTACAGATACATTTCTTTGTTTCTGTGAGGTGACTAAGTGGAGTTTAATTACTTTAATTTTTTTAATGAAGAAGTACTGATGAAGACAATTCATGTTCATCCCTAATTTGATCTGATGCCTGTGGAACCAGGTGGATTTTGTGTGGGATATGGTGTGCATCAAAGCAGGGTCACTCAAACCTGCTTATATCTTTTATCCTCCATGTTCTCTTGTTCTGTTTTGACGTTTTCTACACCCCAGTCACTCAGAGGGTTCTAGGCTAGGACTTTCATCATTGTCCCAGGATCATGTCATTGGCATAACATATCTAAAGCATCAGCCATTTTTATTTTTTAAGAGAGGAACCACAACTACATGGAAAGAGACAATTGGCATATTAAATTATTATGTATTTTCTTTTCTCAGGAATTGTCATGGCAGCAAAGAAAAGCTATAGCCGAGTGAATGCAACAGTGAAGAACACAAAGGGTCGTTTCATAGGTCTATCAGACCAGAGCAGAATCTGTAATTCAAAAGATAAAGCAGTTTCATGCATTAGGATGCACTCTCTGTGTGGAAAAGTCAAAGGGCAGGTAAGAGTCATTATACAATCATAATGTACATTCAGATTAAGAATGGGATTGTGAAAATTAACATGTATTTATGCAAACCTTATATGTTGAATGTATTTACAATCTATCAGATTCCAAATCCTTCTGCATTTTGTGTGAGGCCTTACCATAAAGGATCCTTGTTTGTCACTATTTCATGTTATGTGTATGAAACTATGATGTACATTGATGATCTATGCCATTAATTAAGATATTATAAACACACATCCACACATGCATGACATACAGATACAGAGTACAAATAGTTCGATATTTTGTCCTATCCATCTATGTATTAATAGTCTCATTAGTATGGTATGTTATGTAACACCTGACAGTTTACTAGATACCAACGTTATCATTTTTCAGATATATACCAAAACATGTTTGAATGATTCTTGATATTTATACATTTAGATAGGCAACATTAAACCATGAATACAAAATGAGTAGTATAGCTAATGATGGTTCTGGACCACTTCCACTGGAGCCAGATTTATATACCTATACCACCACTACAGAGGGAATTTTTTATGCGTAAACGCTGATGCGATTCAACGATAGTCATGAGATTAAGTTAAATTGACTCCAGCTCACCAATACCTGGGGCCAATCAATGGTTCAGATGAGCCTAAATGGTAATGAAAATATTCTTTATTATTTTTATCGATAAAGCGATATTCAACATTTTTATTAAGTTCTTCGTTCATTTTACTAGGAGACCAGACTATATAACTACACTCTTCTTGGAAATTGATAAGAAACAATTGATAACCGTATTTGGTTGGTTTCACATCACTGATATAATAAATACCTTGTGGTAATTCTCTCCATTTAATAGCTTTTTCGATTGTTGTGTTGTAATTCTCAAATATTATTCTTCCCCGCCCTTAAGGCGGGGAAGTATACGGGAGAGGTTAAATTTGTAGCATGTAAGTCGACATGTTGGTTTCTTTGAAATTTCAAGCCACACAGTTACCGAAACGAAACATACAAATCATGTGAAATGTGCGTGAAATGTTGATGTTTATCTTTTCCAGCAATAAGAGATACTTCAAAATCTTCTTGCTATTCTGAGACTTAGTCACTTTTCGTAATGCTGATAACCCATGAAATTTGTTCATTTTGTTTTTAAAAGAGCTAAAAATGATCCCATTTCGCTAAAGTTAACTGGTCTATATTTTGTAAGAATAAACTATTGCGCATTGAGCGATTATCTCCTTTAGCTATAGGCGTAGTATAGAAGTGATAAATTCACGCACTGACCTTGCATTGCTGTAAATCGTGCCTTATTCAAGCTGTATCACTGAGAGTGAGTGATTATCTCCCTTACCCGAACAGCTCAATTGCGCACTACCTTTGCAATGTATCGTATGTTATTCAGGCAGCCATCGAGAAACGTTCCAGGAAGGAATTTAGGCCAAGCCTGTCACGCGCACTCAATTTTCACACTACTTTTGCAACATATTTTTCAACACGATTAAATAACAGGCTTCTATAAAGTATGACTTTGTTCAATAAACAACACATGTAAAACAACGGGTTTGATATGAGAATTTTTTTATTAGTTATCTTCATAATCACATGTATGGCGCTTGCTGTGCATAGTTGAGCACAGCATTGTTTTTAATACTTCACTGTATGTAATGTATGGTACATACTATTTCATGCGGCGTTTTACGTTTCTGCATGGTTTATTGCTTTGACAAAAAAACAAATAAAATTCCAGCAGAGATCATACACCCGTATATGTTCTTTGCTTCTGGATACATAGGACAGGTTGGTCTGTAGTTTGCAATTATTTTCCAAAAAGATAATACGGTTGCATGATATCTCCACGATGTTTGGGTTGAACATAGTAACATTCTTCTAAACAAATTTCAAATTTAAGCCGGAAGCAATCACAACACAAACCCAGTTAACCAAACGGAACCATACACAAGAGTGAGTGAGGTAGTTGGGTTTAACGCCGTCTTGAATAGTATTCCGTGTCAGCTTGATGTGGGAGGAAAGTCTGAAGTGATGCAGGTCTTAGACGTTCACCACTTTGGTGAAACCAACGAGCAAGGGTTTTGTGCTGACAACAAAATCGGAGCGAACCGAGATTCAAACACACTGTCATAGGTTTCTGGCGTGCCCAAGGGACACAACTCTGCATAGCGAATTGCAGCGGCTTTGGCGACTGGGCCAACAATGCCCCGTAAGCAACTGTAAGAAACTATTATACAACAAAGATGTTTTAGATGAGGTATGTATTGCGGAACATTCCATGAAGAAACAGTGGCTATATTACACAATCACAAACTACAAAATACATGCACAATAAACGACAATTAAAAAACACAGTAAAGAGCTACATTATAACAATTTTATTTGTAAAACAAGTGTATTATAATGATATGGAAACAATATGGGAAGTGAGCAAAACTATGGTAATGTTGTACATACATGTGCAAGGAATTTGTTTGTAATTGTTGATATGTTAACAGATCTTGGAAGTTGTTTCTGGATAACTGTTGGTAAACTTATTAAGAATCTGCACCTTTTAACAGAGTGTACTAAATTCTTTATCATGATTGGGGATTATTTGTGATTCTCTTTCTTGGTTGTATTATGTAAGACAATGCGTAATGTTGTTCATCTTCTGAGACATCACATGTTTCACAGACGTTGTTCAAATGTTGTTGGTTTTTTTTTTTATATCTACAATTTTTTCAATTTTTAGTTTGTGATTACTTAAACGAAGTTTTGAGAAAAGTGACCTATGTCCTTTGTTTTTACAATATGTAAGATAATTCTCAATATTTATAGATAACGTGACCAAACTGTATGTTCCTAACTTGCTGCTAGATAAATGGGAATCCATTAATGATTGCGTGAAATTTTACATTTGAACTGAAGTCTATTGAGTATATAATGAGTGGATTCATTACATTTTTTGTGTTCACTATTTTAAAAGTTTGCTTTATTTAACCCAACCAACATTTTGACCAGAAATATTAATATTTGCTGCAAAAGCATGCTTTAGAATGACATTTGTTGCGTTATCTATATAGGATTTTTTTTATTGGTACTAATAATGGGTATATATCAAGTTTTGCCTGACAGGCCCAGTTTTCTTGCCTGGGTTTTCTTTGTGCTGACCAATTAAAGACACTGTTTCTTTTATTGTGCTTTCCAAAGATAAGTACATTAATAACAACCAATTTGTACTGAACATAAATTCTCTCCTCCCATAGCTTACACTTATATCACATGCAGTATACAGTATGTCAAGAGATATATACAGTATACCACATGCGGTAATTTACAATGTACCGCGAGCAGTGTGCGCTGGGCAGTAGCGCACATTTCCTCCCCCCTCTCCCTCAAGCAAGCCCCTCGTGGGGGAGTGACCAGGTCACAGGTCAGGCGTGCACTGGACAGCTGTTTCACTGGGGGCTAGTGAGGGATGCGGGAGGCCGGCCATACATACTCTTGGAGTTGTGGGACTGCAACTTCATGCTGTTGTCTTATAAGGCCAAGAGTAAGATCACCAAGACGACCACTGCACGTGAGGCATGTGGGTTGTGGACGAGATACTACATAGCATAGCTGTATTACCTTATAAAGAATAGTAATGAATGTTAGAAAGATATATATCCATCAAGACCGGCGCAAGCTGGCAGTTGAGATCTGGGAGCTGAACACGAAACAGCTCCCATGCACAATAAAACGTTGTGGACCCGCAGACGGAGTTGTGTTGTATATTGAAGAAGTATCCCCTAGAACAACATACATTTTCTACGGCGGATATATTGGTGGAGCTTCGATCCTCGGTACCTCAAACCCAAAGCACCAAGATAAAGAAGGTAGTCAACACGAAGTGAATTTCTATTATTCGTCTGGGGTCCACGACATCATCTACAACATCAGCCACAACGTCGTTCACAACATCATCCACAACTTCATCCACAGCACCATCCACAACAGCAACAACGACGGCCACAACAACAGCAATAACAACAGTCAGCATTCTGGTTCATGTGGTTCGTCTACTCTCAAGCTATTTCATAAAGCTTGATATCGGCTCATCATTATTGTCTTCATCGTTTTCCCTACTCTGAGACCTTGTCACCACCCCTCCACCGTTAGCTGGGACCGGCAACTTCTGGGAAGACCAGTAAAAGAAGAATCTGAAGGTTATTTCAGCCATCGCAACCGCCCTCTACCACTAGGAAGGTAAAAGTCAGCGAAGCGTTACACAGTCCTTGATAAATATCATCAACTACAACATCAGTGCCTGAACCAGAGAAGTATCAGCTTTCTTCATTCTACTGTGTGTCTGCAGTGTGTCTATTGTTTGTCTGCAGTATCCTCTCTCAAGAAACATTTCTCAAGAACGTAGTGACATTTGTTTTCTGAAACGAACATTTTATTATTTATTTCTTGGAACAATTCATCTATTTCATTCATTGGAACATTTATTGGTAAGAACTATTTTTTATTCCCATTTTTATATAAAACAAAAATATATAACGCCATCAATGTACTTTGCGATCCATGGGGCATTCCATACAGTCCATTAGCATATGAAACTCAGTCACGTCACGCTTCCTCTTCAAGTTCGCCTCTTCAACACGAAGCGCCCCTTCAACACGAAGTGCCCCCACCCAAATCTACATTCTATACCAACTGCCCAAACGTCATGTCTATGTTGCACTTTCTTTTGTTGTTATGTTTATGGACTTTTGTCACAGTATTCATACACAGTTAGACACCGCGTACTCCACTCCCGCACATACAGAATATATTAACCTGTTAATGGCTTTTATATTAATCAGAAGTTTAAGTTAATAACCTTCATATTATATGTTGACGTACATCAGCTTTTTATCCTCAGACGTTTAGATTCTAGATAACGGTTTAATTCTATGCAGCCTAAGTCCTTCACATGATTATTCGGATAAGATATACAATATTTGATTTATCTCTTGTGTGTA